GATTAGCAGCTTCATTCTGTTAATAGTGTGACAGTACTAGCAGCCTCGTTCTGTTAATAGTGTGACAGTACTAGCAGCCTCGTTCTGTTAATAGTGTGACAGTACTAGCAGCCTTGTTCTGTTAATAGTGTGACAGTACTAGCAGCTTTGTTCTGTTAATAGTATAACTGTTGTCAGATAGTTATTACAGTGTATGTTTCTTAGGGATTAACTTAACAAATTTCAATAGTATTAAAGTAGAAAAGATGATGAACATATGTAATATACAAACTTGGAATACCAAATAAATAATGAATTTTCGTGCTTACATTTTGAATTTCAGTTACTTTAGGTATTACAGATCGAAAGACTTGTATGTAACTTCTTACACTAGTGTGTATAAATAAATAATAAATTTTCATATTTACATTTTCAATTTCAGTTACTTTAGGTATTACAGATCGAAAGACTTGTATGTAACTTCTTACACTAGTGTGTATAAATAAATAATAAATTTTCATATTTACATTTTCAATTTCAGTTACTTTAGGTATTACAGATCAAAAGACTTGTATGTAACTTCTTACACCAGTGTGCATAAATAAATAATAAATTTTCATATTTACATTTTCAATTTCAGTTACTTTAGGTATTACAGATTTAAAGGACTTGTATGTAACTTCTTACACTAGTGTGTATGAATTTGTACATATATGTTGTACTTACTAATACTGCACTTTGTTATAAATTGTTTTCACTAGTATCACAGATCCTTCTCAGAAAGAAAACTTAGGGATTATAGTGCAGTACAAAGTGAAAGTTAAGTTATGTCTAGGACCTCTCGGAGGGTGAGTTCAAATATCTTTATCATCAAGCAAATTTTAGTATAAAATCTCAATTAATTCTACTGCAAAAACTGTGTTAACAAAAAACAAAAGAAAAACAGGATAATGTATCCAAACTCAACTTATAAAATGATTTTCCTTTCAGATAATTAATTAATACTAGATAATATTCATGTATAGTCAACAATCACGCAGTCTTTATTGTGTTTTTTTGCTTCTGAAAAATTTCATTATTTTTCTAGTAATCTTAAAGGTTTGAAGGTATTCAAAGGCAAGTAATTTTGTGCTTCATATTAGTGCTAGTTATAGTAACAAAAATCTGTCAATAACATAATCTGTAACCTCTCTGTAGGGAGGGAATTGTAGCTTTAATTTTCTACCATATGTTTTTGGAGGAATACACTGTAACTTGCTTTTCTGTGTGCGTGTGGCACATTGATCATACGTGATACTGTAACTGAAGAAACTGTAATTATTCTGAGTGGAGAATTTTCCGTTTTAGAAATATGCTCAATAAAAGTTAATTCTTCTCTGCATGTGACATTAAGTTAAACAATGAAGATATTCTGAGAGGACATGGAACTGTGTGATCAACATGGTGTAGTTATTCTTTATATGTTACACTAGTTTTGTAAGGATAATTTCATCCAACAAAATGTTATGTATATACATTTGGCTCAAGAAGATAAAATTATATGAGCAGCTTACTGTAATTAAAACTTTAATTTTTTTCATTGAAGACATTGTGACTTGCATTTGAAAAATTCTTAACGGTATGTATGAGACACAATAAAATATTGTGATGTTATAATTTGAGGTAAGAAATATTGAAACCGAATTATTTGTTGGTGGCAGCCTTTGTGGCTTCGGTGTAAACCTTAGTTGAAAGTAGACCTAGATGAAAAGGAAATGATTGTATAAAAAAAATAACTGCGTAATTTTCAAATTCAACTAAAGAAGTGTTTTTATCTAACCTGCAGATATACAGAAATTTAAGTATTTTTTTATACACTTGTAAATGACCTTTTTATAGTACTTTATTCTTTTCACAGTTTAATGAATTTAGGGAATTTGTATGATTTTTTTTTAATTTACTGTTAAAGGTTTCTTATTTTAAGAATGTGGGAAATTTGTTTCGTAGGGATGTTGTTGCAGAACTTCCTTTCATTTTGATGCATCCAAAGCCTGAAGAACCACCAGACACACCCTCAGGTCAAGAGTCCATGTCAGAAAAAAGTCAGGAGGATAATAATGTCCCTGTTGATACCAATTTGATACAGTTTGATACGTAAATATCATTGTGTATGAAATGACTCTGTTAGATGAATCATAAGTAATGCAGTTATTAAAACAGATGACCTGTAGACCACTGACCCATGATAACTAGATTATAAGCATCAGGGGCTCCTGTAACTAGTTTATAATTTTTGATGTAACTAAGCTAAATTCTACAGTTTAGCATTTTCTTAAGTAAAAAATATTTTAAGTTCTACATGTAACCATATGCTCAATTTTAATTAGATCACAATTTAATAGGTAGCCTGTGTTATTAAAATAATAGATATTAGAACTTTAACCCTTTAAGGACGGGCATCATGATGCCGCCCTCCTACACAGGTCACAAAAGTACAGTTATAAGTATAAGTACAGTTATTTACAATCTAATCATTTTTACATAGTAAGAAACATTAAAATAACAAATTTCATCACTCTATAAACTAATAATAATAAGATTCTAACCAAGTTTTCTAAAAGGTTTTTCATTTATGATAAAAAATCTAAAGCAGCTACCTAAACATAGACCAACCTTTCATTCTGGATACCAAGCTGTTACATAGGTAGTCTTTTTTTCTTCTCCCGTACTAGTATTAGAACATACAAAACATCTCCGTTAACCCTTTTTTTAGTTCCTGTTGAAGGTTCATGGTCAGGATAGTGTCTTTCCATAAAATTTACAGCACTCAGCCTATCAATGTTACCACTCACTGTTCTACTAGGCCTAACACTAGTCAAGATACCATATTTTTCAAGAAGTTGACTTATAAACTCCCTAATGAAATCTCTGAATTTCAAATGGCAATCTCTCGTTTTGATGAGGTACATATAAGCATTTAGCACAACTAGGTCCATCAGATGAAAAAAAAAAGCTTCTTGTACCAATTTACAGATTTTCTCACACATTCTATGGTGGCCAGTTGCATGTCAGCTTTATCAATAAGCCACATATTCTGAGTGTCGTCAATTACACAATCGGGCCTTTTGACAATTTCATTTGTTTTATGATTTACATTTTCACTGTTAACCATTTGTCATATATGAAAAGTGGTAAGTATTGTCACATTATGTTTATCATGCCAACATATAACCAACAAATTACCACTTCCTTTCATATTCACCAGATTTCAGCTTAGTAAACTTCTTCCTGTTTTTGTCAAAAAGAAATGCTAAATACCAACTTAAATTGAGCTAGAGAGAATGCTGTCAGCTATGTCCTGCCTTACATTTTTAGCCTTTACATGCTGTTTTAATGATTATTATATTTTCAGTGTTACAGTTTTTATTTTGTTAAAGAGGAGCACTTTACTATTTTGCAAAGAAGTGGGGAGCATGTGTCCCTCCTGGTTCTGTTGCATATATCATTTTCTGAAATATAAACATTATATTTGCCATTGATTTTTTTAATGAATAACATCTCAAATGAAGTAAGCTAAACACCAAATTAGAATGAAGTATACTTAAGTGTAGATTTAGCAATAGCGTTAACTATCCCAACATATAAAGTTATTTTTGTTATCTTAACTAGTCAGTAGATTGAAACAATTAAGCTTGTAACTTTGTTCATTCTTTTAAACAGAAATAAAATTAACACTCTCTACTACTGATAAGGTTTGCATGGGTACTTAAAAACCTGGAATACCATGAAAAATGTGTGATTTATATATTTTAGTTTTGGAAACTTTGTGGGAGATAATTTTTAACCACATTCAAGTTGAAGTCTACACACTTATGTTTTATTTTTAGTGTATTTTGTCCATTAATTGCTCAGTCCAACTGGGTAAATATTGTTGATTGTCAAAACATTCACTGAAGGCATCATTACTTACTCTGTTGACTTCTCAAGCAGAATTAATCACAGTGAAGTAGAACAATGCACGAGGCACAGAAGTTGAGCATGACAAACGGTGACTATTGCTTGATTACTGTTTCTTATAGTGTCTTTTTTTTATAACTTTAGATTTTAAATTTGACATAGCATGTTCATTCTCTTTAGTATCATGGGTTTGTAGTCGTGGACCTGAGCAAAGTTACCTCACCATTGTTTTCTACTAAATTAGCAGTATGAAAGCAAACATTAAGTGATACTTTCTCCAGCGTGAAACAAAAAATTACAGAAGAGTTAGAGAATAAGTGTTAACATTACAAATATTCTGGGTTTGTCCAAAATAAAATAAGTCGGTAATAATTTAACTTTCGATATACGGAAACTGAAGGTTCTACGTTTTGCCTCAATATGAATCTTATTTTCATATGATACAGTGTTTAAAAAATACCGTGCCTGAAATCCTTAAAGCAAGTAAAAAAAATTGGCCTGAGCATGTTATTTGTGATTGTTTTTTATTCTACTTGCCGAGCTTGGCAGGTAAACCTTTCTGTGTGTTTCACACACACATTTCAGTATAACTTGGGCTGGGGTAAGTTTTGACAAAAGTGGCTTTTTCTTGTTTAATGAGATTGTCAAGTTCTCCAGATGCATTGATAAAGTGTTATTTTTTGTTTGGACCAAGTTTTTTCATCTTTGTGCTTCTTGATATGATTTATATTTTTTTTAATAAGTTTAGGAAATAATTTTGTGTTTTATGAGTTAATTGGTTGCTCCAACATTCTCTTGACAACACTGATTAAATGAGAAAGAAAATTTAACAGAATGTGTAAATATATACACTGGTGAAAAGTGAAATAGAAATTTTGATAAGTAATTAACCTTTGAATTACCCAGGTTTTTAAACAATTCCTAAACCATGCATCAAATTGCTTATGAATCCATGATAATACGAGTCACAGAAAGGCAGTTAATTAAAAGTGCCATCAATATTGTAGTTAATCCCATGAATTAATGCTAGGATCTCCTATGTATTTAACATAAAATGAATGTTTCCGATATTTTTGGCCAGTTCATGACACTGGATGTTGTAACAGGCAAAACATAGAATTACTAAATATGATACAGTATCTTGATCCCAGCTGTAGTGAACAGTTTTAAAAACAAGTCAGATCTTGGGGCATAATTATTCGTTTTTGATTCTATTTTTGGTTCTTTGGGACATTAAATAGTTTTCTTCCTTTCTTCTATGTTTCTTAGACCATTTCAGGTGATTATTAACTGTAGTGAAATATATACATTTACATGCTGATATATGAATATGTATATTTTAAAGTGGACTATTTCATCAATCATCATTATGAGAAAAATGTCATTGTTTCATTGTTGAAATTTTAATTATGTAGCATGTAATAAACTTATATTAAATGTTTTGATCAAAATAAACTACCATTTAAAAAAATTAGTGTTAAATTCAGCGAGATTATAAATGCTAAATATATGTTAGATTTACTTGTCAGCTCAAGTACCGTACCAGTTAGATTTACTTGTCAGCTCAAGTACCGTACCAGTTAGATTTACTTGTTTAGGAAGCTTGATTTTAGTATATTTCTAAGAGTGCAGAAACTGTTAAAATTATAATCAGTCACTAGTACCAGAAATCCAAATATTATAATACAATATAAAAGAAAATCAGACATTTACTTGTTGCTTGCCAGTTTCATTATCAGTTTTTGATTAGGTATATTAGAAAAAAGAGATAATGTAATCTGTTTTTCCAGAGTATTTTTTAAATTACTTATTGGTGTTTCATAATTTGTTGTAGAGGCTAATACAAGCTATATTTTTTGGAAGTTTATATGATTTTATTAACATATACATAAACCTTTTGTAAATATAGAAATATAATAAAATTGTTGCTTCACGGCAGTGGTGGTGGTGGTTTGAGAAAACTATTTTTAATGTTTCGAGAACATTCATTAATTATTTTTTCCAAGCGTAACAAATATTCTTGTTTCAAAAGTTATTTGTGAAAATAACAAACCTAAGGTACATAATATAACCACGTAATGGTCACAGAATTAAAGAACCTGACACTCGTCATTTGCTTTAGTAATGTATGAAGAAGCATGTTATTAATTGTATACTGATGATATGATGTTTTATTTTTGCAGAGAAGGCGTCAACTGCTCAGCTGCTCAAGAGGATGATTTTATTTTTGAAGATTTTGCTAGATCCAGACTTAGAGGTGAAACTGAAGCTTAAACACAAAACCTCAGCTTATCGTGGATTCTGTATACGAATTCCATCTTTGAACTCGGTTCTCAGGTGTATTTTACTAACAATAGGCCAGCTCTAATGATGTTTCTTCATAGTCCTGTTTTGCTACCGTGGCTTGTTCTACCAGGCTGATTTTTATTTATATTTGAGTGTTATCTTTGTTATATTCATGTTAACACAGGAAATATTTTATATACATTTTGGTAAGCTTTAGCTACCAGTGCTGATGGTAATATTATCTCCAGTATACTCAAAAGACATTCTTTTATATGTTTCTTCTTTAAGAGTTGTACTAGTCCAAGTTTGTGTGGTTTGTACTGATATTTCATGTATTTGTTCACTTAGTATCTCTTTTTTTTTTTTCCTTTGGAAGCATTATTTGTGTAATTGTTAACTTATATTTTTGATAAAAGTTAGAGGCAACAGATGTATAATTATCCTGAAGTTGTGAGTAGTACAATTATTTAGCTTGTGGGACAAGATGGGGATTAACTTTTTCTATCTGATCAAGCAAAAATTAGCTTACATTATCATTGTGCCCCATGACAAAAGAGCAGCATAGACACTACTAAATCTTCATTTACATATTTGCTAAACCTATCTAAGTTTCAACATTAATTTAATCAAGACTGTACTGACTGTATATCATTGTCTCATAAATATCTCTCTGTACCTGGAATCTCAATACACAAGTTTTATTAGCACCATTACTATGTTTGTTAATAGTACTGTCACTATAGGCATCTTTCTCCTCATGAGAACTATTTTTTTTAGCATTAACATTAACCACATACATCTGTTCTTGAGAGCATCATAAGATAATCAGTTTTTCCTCAGCATCATTATGAAATTTGTGCCGTTGGTACTAGAAACATCACGCATGTCACCTTTTTTCTTAGCATTATCATTACATGAAGAATTCTTTTTTCTGGAAGTATTATTACCAAATACCTACATCATTCTTTCTTTAGTATCATCACTATATACAGAACTAGAATGCTGGAAGTATTATCATATATCTACATCAGTCTTTTTTTTTTAGTATTATCACTGCATACAGATCTCTCTTCCTGGAAGTATTGCCAAATGACTACATCACTTAAAGACTTTGATGGTATCAAATATTTAGAATGGAGAAGATTTGGGTGTTAATAAAGTTTTTTAACAGTATCACTGGTCTAGAATAGAGGTGTATGTCTGTAATAAAGTTGTTGAGAATATTAATGAACAAGATTTAAAATGTTATTATTGTAACAGAGATTATTGGTACTGACATTAATCTGGAGCATAGAAATATAATTTGTAACAGTTTGTTAATTTCATGATTTATTTGGAACATAAAGCTGGAAATGACGTCATCAAAATCTTCACAGAGAAAGCTGTGATTTTTTTTTTTTTTAATAACATTATTGGTTTGAAATAGAGGAGAAAGTTATGTAAATTTAAAATT